AGTTTCAGAGGTAGAGTTCAGTGATTCATTTATTTATTTATTTGAGAAAGAGAGAGAGAGAGAACACACAGAGGGGAGGGGCACACTCCCCACTGAGTCCAGAGCCCGACACTTGGCTCTATCTCACGACCCTGAGATCATGGCCTGAGCCAAGATCCAGAGTCAGATGTTTAACCAGCTGAGCCACCCACGAGCACCCCCTGGGTCCTTTTAGTGGATAAGGGTATTTGGATACTAAGACTCAAAGTTTGGTTTGCAAATGACCATCTGGGTGTCTTTCAGTACATGTAAGTACACATAAGACTCTCAATGGTTCATGCTCACCCTCCTGTGTGCACCTAGGCTCCCATGCTCTCTCTCTCCAGGCCTTGAAAACCATGAGTTCTCACCAATTCTTTCAATTTCAATCCCTCACCTAAGGGTCCACTCTAGCCTTCTTCTCTCCATATTTCAAGTACTTTCTCCATCATTAAGAAGCCTATTTCCCATTATCTTTAATATATTTACTCTTTTGCTGGATCCCCCTGTAGGTGAACATTGTCTTCACCACACCAGCATCTCTGCCCCTGGCCCCACCTCCTCCTTTGCTCTGTTCCTGGCTTTGCAGCCAATGCCAACCCCTCTACCTCTGGACTTTGGCCTTGGTCATACCATGTGCTCCAAGGGGAGGAAAAAGTAAGAGACAAAAAGGTATAAGAGGACATCAGGATTTTGTTTTGTGTTTCAAAGCTTTTTTTGTTTTTATGAAAGCACCAGAATCTCCAATGGACCTCTAAAGGGAGCCTTCTGCCTCCTAACCCTCTTCCATTTGCAGAAGATACAGATTTATTCATTTATTTTTTTTATTCATTTATTTTATGTTATTCATTTATTCACTATTTTGTATGGAGATTTCAAATATGGTGGAATCACTTGGCTGGACTGATCTTCCGGCAGATGACAATGATAAAATCTGGACAAAATAACAAGGAAATGATCTTTAAAACCCTGGAGAGTGACCAGAACTAGCAGAGACTTGAGGGAAATCTGCTGGAGAGCAGAACTGCAAGGAATGAGATTTGCAAATTTCTGGCTTTTTGCCTGAGGGAGTGCCCTGGCCCCACCTCCTCCTTTGCTCTGTTCCTGGCTTTGCAGCCAATGCCAACCCCAATCTGGGAGGGGTGGGAGGGGCATAGAGCTGCAGCCTTACTGAGGGGCTTACTGGCTTGAGGGATCAGAGGATAGAATTTAGGGCTGACTGAGCTCAGCCGGAAGATTGAGGAAAATACCGGAGAAAAGGGAGCCACCAAAGGAGTGAACCCTGAAATAGAAAATTAACTTTAATTTTTTTTTAATTTTCAGAAGCATAAAAACTAACTATAAACATAAACATAAACTAGTTAGGAAGAAATTTAACAAAAGACCTGCAAAACTATACACCGAAAAGTGCAAAACTGCTGAGAAAAATTAAAGAAGAGTAAAATTAAGTGGAGAGATAACGTGTCTGCAGATTGGAAGACTCCACGATGTTAAGATGTCAATTCTCCCCCACTAAACTATAGATTTATCACAATCTCAATCATGATTCAGCAGGCATTTTAAATAGAAAGTGACAAGCTGATTCAAAAATGTATATGGAAATGCAGAGACCCAGAATAGCACAATAATCTTGGAGAGGAGATGGTAAAAGGTTGATGCTATTTGACTTTAAGATCTCCTGTAAAGCTCCAGTAATGCAGACAGTGTGGTACCAGCAGAGTAAAAATAAAGATCAATAGATCAGGAGTGAGAGTCCAGAAATAAACCTAAACTTATATGGCCAATTGATTTTGACAAAGGCAGTAAGACAATTCAATTGAAAAATGAAAGTCAACAACCACTGCTGAACAACCATAGATCTTTAAGAGAAAAAAAAAATTTTTTTTGACCCCTACCTCACACCACACACAAAAATCAATTCAAGATGGATCACAGACCTAAAAGGAAAAGTGAAAACTACAAAGTTTATCAAAGAGAATAGGAGAATATCTTCATGATTTGGAGGCAGGCAAAGATTTCTTAGTACGCAGAAAACACTGACATAAAAGAAAAATTTGATAAGTAAGACTTTACCAAAAGAAACTGTCAGGGAAATTAATAATAGGCACAGTAAAGACCTGGAGAAAGTATTTATAAAAACCATAAAAAGTACTTTTATCTAGAATCTATAAGGATCATCTACAACTCAATAATAAAAAGTCAACACAGAAAAATGGGCAAAGGATTGGAACAAATACTTCACAAAGGAAGATACATGAATGGCCAGATGAAAACATGCTCAATACCATTAGTCATCAGGGAGATGCAAATTAAAAGCACAGTGAGATACTATACATAACCATCAAAATGACTAATATTAAAGACTTCTAACACCAAATGTTGGTGAGGACATAGTGTAATGGACATCTCATATATCACAGTGGAAGTACAAAATGGAATGATCTCAGCAGCTTCTTAGAAAGTTAAACATATACATTTACCTTTGACACAGTAATTTCCATTACTAGGTATTTGTCCAAAGGAAATGACAACATATGTACACAAAAAAGACCTGTAGAATAATGTTCACAGTACTTTTATTCACAGTAGCAAAAAATAAGAAATATCCCAGGTATCCAGAAACAGGGGAATGAATTATATATACTAAATGTTTCCATCATATGAAGTTCTAGAACAGGTGAAACTAAGCAAAAATGGGAGGAAAAATTGGTTGCCTGGAGTTGGGGTGGGCATGGGCCTGAGAGTTGACCGAGAAGGGATATGAGGGAACTTTCTGGGGTGTCTTGAAAAGTTCTGTATTTTTTTTAAGATTATTTATATATTTATTTATTTGAGAGAGAGATAGTGAGAGAGAGCATGAATGGGGAGGAGAGGGAGAAGCAGGCTCCCCTCGAGCAGGGAACCCGATGCAGGGCTCGATCCCAGGACTCTGGGATCATGACCTGAGCCGAAGGCAGACACTTAACAGACTGACCCACCCAGGTGCACCTCTTTTTTTTTTTTTTTGAAGATTTATTCATCTGAGACACAGAGATACAGAGAAAGAGCATGAGCAGGGGGAGAGGCAGAGGGAGAGGGAGAAGGAGACTCCCTGCTGAGTCAGGAGACCGATGTGGGGCTTGATCCCAGGACCCCGGGATTATGACCTGAGCCAAAGGCAGGTGTTTAACCATCCGAGCCACCCAGGTGCCCCGAAAAGTTCTGTATCTTAATTATTGGCGTGTGGATTACACGCAAACTGTATAACTGACGTGTGCATTTTAATGTCTGTAAATTTTACCTTAAAGGAACTGTAAAAAGTGGTAATAGTTGAGTGGTGGTTGGGGGAGGTCAGTGGCAGAATGGATGAAGCAAGAATGGTTGAATGTTGGTAATTTTTGAAGCTGGGTGGTGTGTACATCGGGGTTTATTATACTTCTTTTGACTTCAGTGTACTTCATATATGTTTGAAATTTCCAATAGTTACAGGGGTCCCAGTCCTGGAGAAATTAGACATAGGCCAATAAGTTTCATTTGGGGCAGGGAAGGCTCTACATTTAAAAACACCAGAGGCTGGGACTCCAGGTGGGACTCGGGAGTAGCATGGAGCTCTGGATAATATAATCATGAGTGGACAGAGCAGTACAGAGGTTCAGTGGCAGGAGAAATGGGTGGAAATAATGACAAAATGGTCAACTTCACAGCCGTGAGCTCTCCCTTTGTCTGTGTCCCTCTTGCTGCAGGTCCCATTGATCACAGCCTTCTTCCCCATCCTAAGACCACAGTTCTGATTCCTGCACTGATTTGTTACAACTGTTAACGTGTGCTTTCTGTGCCTCGGTTTCCCTATCTATCCCACAGAGCAAGAGTTGATGGCTGTGATGGCATTTGCTTCCCTAATGGGGAAAGGATCTTTTAGGCTTAGGGTCTTTTAGCTTTACCACTGCATAGAATTGAAGAGGGCTGGTAGGAAGCAGAGCGGGACCAATGTATGTGGGTGCCCAGGCAGACCAATAATTTGGCATTCCTTTAAAACAGTGCTATTTAAATATGAGTTTAATATTTTATTAGTGAAAATAAGGAGAGTTTTAAAAATCTGCCTTTGATGGTACTTTCTACTCTGCTGGGAGTGGGCTCAATTCACCAATTACATGTGCAACCATATGAGAAACCTAAATTAAACTGAAACTAATGTGATTTCAGAATGAGGCAAGACCTTATAGATGGGTTTCCAGGCAGCTGCCCAGTGGGCCTCTTCTTGATCCAGCTCTGGCTTGAGGCCAGGAAATGATGGCATCAGTCTATGGGCAGGCTGGCTTCTCATCAACAAGAAAGCAGGAGTAGGAGGGTTCCTATGCTTCTTATGTGGAAACTGGGCCACTTAATCCATTAATGTGAGTCTCATCCTTTTGCCTTGTCCAGCCCCAGCACCCCATGAAGCAGCTTGGCCTAGTAGAAATCCTCAGAGTCCACTGGCCCCAGTTTCAAAACCCCAGCTTAATTCCATGTGCTGTGTAACCCACAGCAGTTGGTCATCAGCCAAATGGGGATGTAACACCTACTTCCCTGTGTTGTATGGATTCCATGAAATAATAATGTATGCAAGGGCCCTGGAGTGCCTACCACAGACCCTCGGTTATGCTGGCTAAATTGGAAGCCATTCAGAAGGTGATTTTACATGGCGGATGCTCAGTAATTATTCATCGGTTTGGTTGGAGTGGGCTGCAGAAGCACAGATTCTGTGCTCTTGGCCTCTGCTGCATTTTCTCCTTTGCTCCTACTCTCTCCTCTCCATTTCTCTGTCTCATTTTACCAAATCATTCATTCATCAGATAGAGCCCACTGTGCACTAAGCCTTGCACTAAGTGCTAGAGTACCAGAGATAAATGAGAAGTTAAGACGGAACCCCACGCTAGAGAATCATACTTCTGGGGGCTGCATGAGGACTGTGGGAACCTAGAAGGGGGCATCCCTGAATCCTGTCTCTCTATTCTCCTCCCCAGGATGTCATTGCCTCCATCCTGATGAGCGGACGGATTGGGCCCAACATCCAGCTGGCTGAGTGCTATGGGCTAAGGCTGAAGCACATGAAGTCGGATGAGATCCACTGGCTGCACCCACAGATGACGGTGGGGGAGGTGCAGGACAAGTATGAGTGTCTGCACGTGGAAGCCGAGTGGAGGTAGGAGAAGGGCCCTGGGCTCTCAAGTGGGGGGAGATGAGTATGGAGTGGGGAGGCCGTGGGAAGTCCTTCCTCAGAGCACTTCCCAACCTCTGAGAATCTCCTAGAAAATCTGGGTGGCATTTTAAGCCTAGTCCTCTTGCAGCATCCAATGCATGTATTGGCCAAAGCCTAACATGGGCTCATAGCACATCCCCCTCCCCAGGGCAGATATCAGGAACATCCCCAGGCAGGTTGCTCCTGGTACTATGGAGAAAGAGGAACAGTAGGGTAGGGAGGATAGAGAACCAGGTCAAGTGCTGATCTGCAAACCTAAGGAAAACAATTGCCAAGAGGGGGAAGAGTTGGAGAGTCAGGACTAGCGTTGACTACCACCTGCTGGCCTCCATGGTCCTCCACGGTCCTCCACCTGACCACAGAGGAGGGAAAGAAGAAGCAAGTCCTGAATGGGTGGCCATCGGCCTCATGGGCAGACCCTTACATGACCAGCTTCCCTGTGTCAACCAGAGAGTCTGAACTTCCTGTCCCAGGTATGACCTTCAAATCCGCTACTTGCCAGAGGACTTCATGGAAAGCCTAAAAGAAGACAGGACAACGCTACTTTATTTTTACCAACAGGTAGAAGTATTTTATCTTCCTGTCCCCAAGGTCCTATTACTCATCCTCACCTGGGGAAATAGAATGACAAAGCTCAGATTTTGGAGATCCCAGTCTAGGAAACTTATCTTGGGGATATACATGCCTTGGTCCCTGGTCAACGGTTCCAACCCTGGTTCTCTCATGGCTCATTGAGTTCTGGCTCACCCCGCCCCATATGCACAGCTCTTTTGGACTTTGCTGGTGGCTATTTACTGCTCAGGAGACCTGGTGGTGAGCAGACAGAGCAGGTCCAAAGAGAAGTGGTAGTCTTAGCACACGGACTCTCACATACCTGGCTTCTAGCCCAGCTCTGCCACCTCCTAACCCAGGATCTTCTAAGGGCTTAACTTACCTGCCTGAAGCTGTCTCCTCTCCTAGAAGATGGAGGTGATAATAATCATATTTACTTTCTAGGGTTGTGGTGAGGACCAAATGGTATCATTAGCAGGGGCTCGTGAACCGGCACTCTGAAGAAAAGCATCTCTGATGTATAGCACGTGCCAATTTCCATGGTGTAAATATTTCCCCACCATGGCATTTTTCAAGCTACCAGTATGAAATCATACAGCTTGCAAAACTTCAGAAGCTTTAATACCTGGCTTTCATGAGCTGCTGTAACACACCACCGGCTATAAGAAGGCAGGTAGCATGCCTGGCACAGGACGGGGCACAGTGGGTGCTGAGGACGCATGAGCCTGCTGCCCCTGTTGTCCGTCTGGTCCCTGCTCCCAACTGTATCTCCCTCCTGGTTTGCTGGACACGAAGCCAGACTCTGAATGTAAAGTGGGTGACATCTGTCACTACTTACCAACAAGACTTTGAATAAATGATGGGCTCGTGCTCAAATTCCAGTTTCTTTATCTCTAAAGTGAAGAGTGGAGAGGAGAATCTGAACTCCAGCTTCATAATCCTGGGTGGTTGGAAGCGCTTCCAAAAATCTGAGGGCCTTGGCCTATGGAGGCATGAGTCTAGACGGTTCTGGAGGGAGGCAGAGACTACACATTTGTGCCTGGTGGGGTGTGTGAGAGAGAGAGACGGCTTGGGGCTGCAGGATTGTATTCAAAGCACCCGCCATCTCCTGGGGCCTCTGTTCAGAGAAACAGGGAAGGAGGGTGTGACTCTCCACCTTGGCCTTTCTCCTCACCAGCTCCGGAATGACTATATGCAACGCTACGCCAGCAAGGTCAGCGAGGGCATGGCCCTGCAGCTAGGCTGTCTGGAGCTCAGGTATGTGGCCTCAAGGACCCTAGGGACTGGAGTTCTGGGCCAGCTCCGTCTGCCTCCAGGGTGGGAAACAAGAGTGGGTACATGGGGGGCGGTGACAAATGGTGGCTGACAGAGGGTAAGGTGCTCGCCATCTGGTCCTTAGAATAGAAGGGACAGCCCCATCTCGGGCCAGTGTCCCTCGCTTCCTTTGGCTGCCGCTGCTTTTCCCTCCAGGCTGCCTACTTCTTCCATCTATCTGCCATTCGAGTGATCCAGTAAATGTGTCTTTGAGCACTAGGCAAGGTCCTGGGAGATGTTTGAAGGTCGGGTTTCCAGCTGTGTCGTTCATTGCTATGTCCTCAGCTGCAGTAGGCACCGAGAAATCTGTATAGAATTAGTAAGTCATGCAGAGATGCCCTCAAACTTCCGGGTCTGGTCTGGGAGGTGACAGGTGTTAATATAAGGCAGAATGAAACAGGTGCCAAACATACACACATACGGAAGCCCTTAATCCTGCCTCAGGGATCAGGAAGAGGGGATCTGAACTTTCGAGGAAGGAGGATACATCCCATCCAGAGAAAATGGGGGGAATTGGGGGTGGGAGAGAGTACATTCTCAGTCCAGCGTTCGGTAGAAAGAAGAGAACAGCCTAGAAGGTAGTGGGAGATGAGCAGAGGAGGTCAGTCAGACCTGATTATGGAAGACTTTGAGTGACAGACTAAGAAATAGGCTTTATTCTAGGCTGTGGAAGCATTCGGGGCAGAGGAGGGTGAGTGGTTAAAGCTGTGCCTAGGACTCTCTTGACCAGAGCAGACCATTCAGTTTCACCATCGGTCATATCCATCCGTTCTTTCATCTGTAAAATGGGAATGATGATAATAGTAGTAACCCTATAGGATTGTTATAAGGAATTAATGAGTTAATGTATTTAAAGTACTTACAACGATAGGGACAGAATAGTAATTATTTATTGTTTGTATGACTTTTTTCTCTTCACCCTTATTTATTATTTATTTTTAATAGACCTTTTTTTAAGAACAGTTTTAAATTCGAAGCAAAGTTGAGAGGAAGGTGTAGAACTTGCGTGCCCACACACACACATGGTCTCCCCACTATCAGCATCCCCTACCAGCGTGGGACATTTGTAATCGATGAACCTACATCGACACATGATTATTACCCAAAGTCCATAGTTTACATTGGGGTTCATTCTTGATCTTGTGCATTCTGTGGATTTTGGTAAGGGTATGTTGTCCTTTATCCCCCCCCCACCCCCAACCATTACAGTGTCATGTGGAATAGCTTCACTGCTCTAAAATCCTCTGGGCCCCACCTATTCATCCCTCCCTCTCCCAACTCCTGGCAACCACTCACATTTTTACTATCGCCATAATTTGCCTTTTTCAGAACGTCATAGAGTTGGAATCATACCTAATTAATTTTTTATTGATTTCTTAGAAGTGCTCTGTAAATGCCAAATATTTTATCTATATGACCCCTCTAAGTTAAAATGTGAAATTCATGGGCCACATGCTACCTTCCCAGTGTGAGGAACCAAGTAGCCCCCCTTCACCTGAGACACCCAGGACCACTGCCCACTCCCAGCAGAGTCCCAGAACAGTCTGACCTAAATACTCAGAGTGAATGTGTACCCCAAGAGTAGTTGAGTAGGAACTGGTAATAAGTAAAGATTGGAGAAAGAGCATTCAGCTTGCTTCAGAAGGCATTTTATCTCATAGTTAATTTATAAATGTTGGTAATGAGTTAATATTTCTGTTGCTTTTTAGAAGAAAAACACAGCCAACTGGATTTTGCATAAATGCTTCTTTACCTTCTGCTGTTTTTACCTAGGCATCAGTCATGGGCCTATGCCTGCCCATGCCCTGCTTTCCACCTAGTGTTAGCTGGTCAGAATGGCAAACCTGGTCTTCACAGAGCCAGTCAGACCCCCTCTACACTCAGAGCATGCCTGTGAAGTGTCCATCACAAGCAGTATGGTGGCCATAGATTCTTCCCACTGAGCCGGCTCCAGGGTCTTAGCATCTTGAAGGCTCCCCTTCCTCATGCCCACCCCACCTCCCCTACCCTATATAGATCTGCTGTACTCATGCTTCGCTCTACCAGGCCCTGATTGGCTCTGTGCACTAGATTGTGAAATCCTATCAAATCCTAGAAGTTGGCATTGGCATCTCATTGCCTGGCACAGACTGAGAGTGCAGTATGTACTTGAATGAATGGATAACCCTGAAAGATCTAAAACCCTCTTCTCTGATGGGCATTTGCCAACATTTATTCTGTTAGAATTAAGTAAGTGCGTACAGCAAGCCAATTTGTTTAGTTACCTAGGAGTACATTTTGCAGCTCCCTCGAGCCAGCGGGAATGGCTGGAGGTCATGTTGTCTATAACCAACACTCCACAGGCATGCTCTGAGGTTTTCTGTGAACCTGGGGGGCAAATGGGTAACACTGGCTCAGAAAACTTTCTAAAGCTGCCGTGATGGGCCGTGTGGAAATTTGGGATCTTAACCGTAAACATTTTCAGGTAGAAGTAGGAGGAGAATGACCGTCCATCCAGGGGAGAACTCTGGATAGGCTCCTCATGTCCTACAAGTGAATATCATCCCTACTGACCTGTTGTTTGGTTTCCAGAGTTTGGGCCTGCTTTAATCAGCTGGCCTGCTCCTCCGGGATCTGCTATCCCATTCTGTCAGACACCCAATAGAGAGAAGTGGGTCAAGGAAGAACATTCTTCCCAGATCCCTGAGCTCTCTCCTTGGATCAAGCTCTCAGGGTTTCTCCATCTCAGCAATAGGGACATTTGGGGCTGGATAATTCTTTGGTTGGGGGGTCATCCTGTGAATTGTAGAAGATTTAACAGCATCCCTGGCCTCTACACACTAGATGCTGGTGGGACCACCCTCCTCCTAACCAGATGTGACAACCAAAGATTTCCAGACATTGCCAAATGTTTCCAGGCTGGAGAGGGAGGTGTAAAATTGCCCCTGGTTGAGAACCACTGAATTGGGCCATTAGAGGGCCATATACTCGAGCCACTCAATGCTAGGCCTTCCAACGATCATTATTGGCTGCCTTGGGTCATTTGTTTTTAGAGGTCACAGATAGAATCACCATCTTCCTCCTCTGCCCCAAAACTGGGCAGTCCTAGAGCTGGGCCTCCCAAAGCACAGGGATATATATATATGTATATATATAATTTTTTTTTTACTCTCGTAATGTTCTCCTTTCCTTTGGTTACTACATTTGGAAGAGGAAAGGGAGCTTCTAGACCAATGTGTGGCATTAGGTGACCCCAGTCTAATGGCCTTGTTCTCCAACCATGAACCTGTCCATGACTTCTCTCTCTCTCCAGGCGGTTCTTCAAAGACATGCCCCACAATGCACTTGACAAAAAGTCCAACTTCGAGCTCCTGGAGTAAGTTTTGACACTGGCCCTCGCCTCTCCTGCCTTCCTTCCTTGCTGCCCTGCTTTTCCTATTCACTCCCTACCTTGTTCATCTCCAGACCAGAGAGCCAGGCAGGACCCATCCCCCGGTCCTCAAGCCATCTTGCCTCTTCCTGATTGGCCTGAAGTCCTGGATTGGGGGTGAGGGAGAGTCAAATGTCACTTCCCCCCCTCTTCTTTCAGGAAGGAAGTGGGGCTGGACCTGTTTTTCCCAAAGCAGATGCAGGAGAACTTAAAGGTGAGGAAACCACTGGGCAAGGGGCTCAGAGAGACCCCCTTTGTGTTGGCCTCCAGGACTGGAGCTAATGGCATTGGACTGGGGGTACTCGGGAAAGCCAGGGTATCTGTGGGCATAGGACCACTAAAAGCATCTAGTGAGCCCTTTCTGTGGCTGGCAATTAGGAAACCTGGCTTCATTTCCACATCAGAGGCCAATTAGCTTTGTGGCCTGGGGATGCTACTTCCCATGCTTCCCTGCCAGGGCTATGGTGAGCCTCCCTTGAGACAGTAGGTATGTGGTTTAGGTAACAGCTCGCTGCTGCTCTCGTGGCAAAGGCCTGGGGACCATCCTCCAGCAGCAGAAAGGTTTTTGGTGAGATCAGGGAGGGAATCAGAGCTTGGAGGAGCAGGGCCCGCTCATCACTGACCATGCCCCCCCACCCCAGCCCAAGCAGTTCCGGAAGATGATCCAGCAGACATTCCAGCAGTACGCCTCACTCAAGGAGGAGGAGTGTGTCATGAAGTTCTTCAACACCCTCGCGGGCTTTGCCAACATCGACCAGGAGACCTATCGCTGTGAACTCATTGTAATGCCACGTCCTTTTTACTCTCTCCCTGACCTGAATTCCAGGCCTCTCGGGGAACAGACCCATGAGGCCAACATGGGGGGCCAAGAAGGGGTGTGCTTGCTTGTAGCAGCCCACATAAGCCAAGATCCTTGGGCAGCTGGGCCTCACCAACATACTGTCAAATGCAGCCAATGGTAACCCACTTGCCTGAGGAAGGGAACTGAAATCTTGGCTACAGATTCTGGAGGTCGGCAGAGTAGCAGGGTGTTGGGAGGAGAGTAATCTGTCTGGCAGGGTTTGAAGATTGAAGGAGCTGGAGGGCTCAGGAGACAGTGGCCTGTATCTAACTTAGTGAGCTTTTTTTCAAATTTCTGAAATAGGAGGGAGACAGAACTGAAGCAACAGTCCTCTCTTTCCTTTTATTCCAGCAAGGATGGAACATTACTGTGGACCTAGTCATCGGCCCTAAGGGCATCCGCCAGCTGACAAGTCAAGATGCAAAGGTAGAGAGAAAGAAGGGCAGGCTGCACCCAGCCCCAGGCTAAGCGTCTTCCCCTCTCTGCTGCCTCCCACCTTGTCGTGCTTTTCAGTTGTTCCTTCCCCTTGCTGAGATCAGAGAGGCCCTTGATATGAATAGCCATAGAGAGAGTGTTTGGAGCATGGGGCAGATGGCTCTTTACTTCCCTGTGCTATCCCCTACACAGAGGCTGGGGGGCAGGGGTGGTTTGCGGGGAAGAGAACACAGAAGGGCACCATCACTGCTCTTCTGGCTTAGATAAAACAGTTGCTCTGGCAATGGCAACATGGGACAATCGTTCCCCTGGAAGTCAAAAGACCTGGGGGGGGGGTCCCAGTCCTGGCTCTATCACCAATGTGGCATATGACTTGGGGCCAGTCCTGGCTCTCTAGACCCATCTTCTCTTCTGCAAAGTGAGGAGCTTAGACCAGATGATCCTTTCAGTCTTCATTGTCTTTGATTCTCTCTTCATCCCACGGGGAGGCTCTCAGTGCTTCCTTACAACCCCTCCCCCTGGACTGACCAATCTTCATGGCCCGACCCCAGGAGTGGGATGGTCTGAAGGGTCCCTCCTTTCTTACAGCCCACCTTCCTGGCCGAATTCAAGCAGATCAAGTCCATCAGGTGCCTCCCCCTGGAGGAGGGCCAGGCAGTACTGCAGTTGGGCATTGAAGGCGCCCCCCAGGTGAGCATCTCTGGGCCCCTGGCAGCTCTGAAACAAGGGCATGCAACCGCAGGGCAAGATTCCTTGCGTAGGTCAGCCTGGCTTCTGGGATCTTGCTAAGAAAACTGCACCTATTTCTCAGACAAGGTACCAGGTTGACAATAAAATTATAAGGGAAATGTATCAGGAAGCAAAGCTGTTTAAAAATGTCAAGAAATAAGTTGGGGAAGTTTTTAGAGTGGGTGAAGTGACCAGAAATCAAGGTACATATGAGAGGTCTAACTTTGAACAAGTGAATGATGACTCAGTAACAGGACCTCCGAGGACCTGGGCTTTTTGTGGGTGGAAGAATCAGAGAGAACTCAGACTGCAAACTGATTGTCTATCTCCCATTTCATCTGTCTGTGCCTACCCACTCCTTCTTCTCCTAGTTTCTGCTCTTACCTGTGGAGCACCTCCTAGGTACAAGGCATTGTGCTATGCACTCAGAGACCAAAATAAGTCCTAGCTGAAACTGGCCTTCCTAGGGTTTAGGGTCACCAGTGGGGAGGGATGATGAGTGCACCCCCTGGTGGCAGTGGGGAATGCAAGCCGAGCCCGGGACAGGTGCTGATGGATTCCAGGCAGGAGATGGGTGGTGTCGTCTGCTCCTTCCGAGTATGCAGTTTCTTCTCCAGTCCTGTGGGGCAGACTCTAGCCAAGGCTTTTGGGTCTCATCCTTGGCTGGTCTCTTCTCTGCAGTCCTTGTCCATCAAAACCTCCTCTCTGGCAGAGGCCGAGAACATGGCTGACCTGGTGGACGGTTACTGCCGGCTGCAGGGGGAGCACAAAGGCTCTCTCATCATTCATCCCAAAAAAGGTGAGTTTCCATTTAAAGGCAAACTGGCCCAATGAGCAGATGTGGCACAAGCCCCCAGAGGCAGAGCAGGAGAAGCGAAACCATTGACCAAGATGTGAATGAAGAGGCTCTGGAAGTGGGACGAGGTGCTTGCCGAGTCCTTGCATCACAAGGATGCTCCTTGTGGACCCATCCTGGGTCCTTAGCTGCAGGCCCTGGCCAAAGGCAGTTTGGGGGCTGGCTTCTGGAGCGGAGGTGTTTGTAGCCCCAGGAAGAGCAAAGTTAGTGTTAGAACATGACTGGCCCCTCCTGTGAACATATGTCTATTTGGGGATGGGATCAGGAAGCAGGGGTCCGGGTTGGAACATGTGGGTGGTGGCAGAAAGAAACTCGAGAATTTCTTCTACTAAGAGGACTCTAATTCAGGCCAGCTTCCACTCCGACTTTCAGAGGATTCGGAATGGTGGGAAGGGGTCCCCCGTGTGTCGGTTCATAGGAGAAGTGAGGTCAGCCATCCATCCAGGACCCTGTGTCCCTGGCTCCAGCTCCCCCTTTCTGCCCTCTCCCTAGATGGTGAGAAGCGGAACAGCCTGCCCCAGATCCCCATGCTGTGAGTACAACGGGAAGACAGGGAACAAGGTCTGCACTCAGCCTGTGTCTTCCTGGGAGGAGGCAGAACAAATAGGGTCTCTGGTTTCCAGGCCCCAGGGGAGAACACGGGAACCCCGGCATTTCGCAAGTGGCAATTTCTCACCAGTAAATTTCACCCCATCAGTCCCTGCAAGGGTAGCCCTGTGTCCTAATGCCGTCTGGCCTCATCGTATGGAGAATGGCGCGTCCCCTCTTTCCTGCCCCCTGGCAGCGGGGGCCGTGTTCCCGGGCTGGTGTCACCAGAACAGGGTGCTCCTCCGCCGAGCAGGCGGGGGGACAGGGGCAGCTGACCTCCAGGAGGGGCGGCCGGGAGAGGGTGGGCCGGGGCCGTGTTGTCGGGCTCTGAGTTCCCCGGGCTCCTGCCCTTTCTTCTCCTCCTACAGCAGCCTGGAGGCACAGCAGCCCCACCTCTCAGACAGCGGCGGCCTAGGTGAGTCTGCCCATCTGCAGTCCTCTACCTGTGTCCAGAGCCTCTCTTCTGCCTGCTCTTGTGTATTGCCACGGATTCCCTCAAAGTTGCAGAAAAGCGCACTTCCCCTATGACTTCTCAGTGACAGCTTAAAGCGTCATTAATCCTAAGAGCTAACACGTATTCACCGGTTAATACAGGGCACCATGTTTGTCTGAGCTCAGGCCGCCATGACAAACACCACAGCCGGGGGGCGCCATACTCCTGACCTCCCCTAAGCCTAATCACCAGCCCCCAAAGGCCTCGCCTCCAGATACCTCACACTAGGGGGTCGGGATCTCAACATATGAATTTGGGGGAGAGACATTCAGTCCCCAGCAGTGTTAAATCCATCATAGGTATTCTTTTATTTGATCTTTAAGATATTCCCTGGAAACATTCATTTCACAGAAAGAAAAACTGAGATTGAGGGAGACCAACTTGCCCTAAATAATGCAACCAGGCAGTAGTGAGCAGGGATTCAAGTCAAGGTGCCCTAGGCTCTGTGGCCACGCCAAAACGTGGGACGGGAGCCCCAGTTCTTGCCTGGCTCCCCTTCCCTCCACCACTCCCCTCCCTGGGATGTCAGCCTTGGTTTTGCTGGCCTGCATGTGGGAGCCCCATGCCCGGTTCCTGGTGGTGCCCGCTGAGAGCATCTTACCCATAGGATGTTCTCTTTCTGTCATTCCAGAATCAGACATCTATGCTGAGATTCCCGATGAGACCCTGCGAAGGCCCAGAGGTAGATCTCTGGCCCCACCACAATGGCCACAGCCAGGGCCCGATGAAGTAACATTGTGGGGACACCTGTGACACCCCAAGGGGATTTTATTTCCTTCCTTCGTCCTCTCCCATGTGTGCCTCAGACAGGGACAAACCGAAGTGAAATACCTTTGATTTGAAAGCTGAGATCATTCTTTTGTCCCCACACTATTGACCTTGTGTGTGCCTGTGATGTGTGTGGGGATCCTAAGAGTGTGGATATGAGACCTGGCCTTCAGAGGGAACAGGGTGGTGGTTTTTCTCCAAGTCTGAGATGATGGAACCTTCTAGAACCCCTTTTCCAGGCCAACTCCTGCATCTTACCTGAGATGTTGTTAAGGGGTTTGGTGATGCCTGGGCAGGAGGGGAGCAGAGCCTGGCATTGGGTCCTACAAATACTCAGATTCCCAGGGGCACCCGTGGATAGTGAGACTCTCTGCTCTTTCCACCTGCCCAGGTCCGCAGTATGGCGTCACACGGGAAGATGTGGTCCTGAATCGGATTCTTGGTGAAGGCTTTTTTGGGGAGGTCTATGAAGGTGTCTACACAAATCACGTGAGTTCCAGACTCTTCACGGACACTCCTCTCCCACTTTTCCATAGAATGAAAGGGGAGTTCATATATTCTGGGGTTGGAGTAGCCACCATGATATGTGGCTCTTCATCCACTTGGCATTTGCAGTATTTATGAAATACCCAGGGAGTGATGGAAGCAAGAGTCATTTCCCAGAAGGATAGCAAGCCCAGGGAGTAAAATGGAGGCAGGACCTGGGGAAGAGTTGGCTGAATCTTGATGGGCAAGAACATGGGGAAGTGTGAGAAAATGTAGCTCTGGGAAGAGGAAGAGCAGGATCTGAGGCAGGGGCTAGTTTTGAGGCCCCAGTGGGGTGGGACCCTGCAGAAAGGGTAGAGCCAAGGAAAAGAGGCAGCAAAAATGCAAAAGCCAACAATAAAAAGAGAGAAAGAGACTGGAACACTGTGTCGGATGGCTTTGCACATGCACTCCACACACACCCACGAACAATGGGCAGAGCACTGGCCCTGAGCCTCAGTGTCCTGATCTGGACGGCCAGAGGCTTTAGTCTCAAAGGTCCTTTCTAGTCCTGACATACCCTAATCAAGAAGCAATGAAGTCAGGGGGCGCCTGGGTGACACAGTCGGTTAAGTGTCCGACTCTTGGTTTCGGCTCAGGTCCTGATCTGAAGGTCGTGGGATCGAGCCCCATGTCGGGCTCCGCACTCAGCATGGAGTCTGCTTGAGATTCTCTCTCCCTCTCCCTCTGCCCCTCCTGCTCATACACTCTCTCTCTCTCTCTAAAATAAATAAATAAATCTTAAAAAAAAAAAGGCAGTTAAGTCAGGAGTCAGAGAGGAGTGGAGAAAGAGAGTGGGGGGAAGAAGGAGGAAAAGGAGGAAGGTGCCTGGCAGAGACCAGGAGGCCCAGATGTTGCCTGTCTTCCCTCAGCTGTCAGCCAAGCCTGTGGGATGACCATGGCGATGCCAGGGAGGGGACACTTTCTTTTGAGTCCTGGGCTGGCCCAAGGGGCTCTGAACAGACTTTCATTGCAGAAAGGGGAGAAAATCAATGTCGCCGTAAAGACCTGTAAGAAGGACTGCACTCTGGACAACAAGGAGAAGTTCCTGAGTGAAGCAGGTACATGTCCCCTGGGAAGTGACACAGCCCCCGTGAGTGAGAAAAGACCCCGTGAGATGACACGGACCTGGATGTCCGAGATGGGAGAGGGGCCTGGAATCAGGGATGGGGAGAGTGCGAACAGCACAGGGACCTCCTTCAGGAGGAGGGGTTTCCCTCCCCGTTTCTCCCAGTTGGGACAGCCCAGCCTGTTTCCCCGTATTGGACCTTAGGGCCACTCTGGCCCATCCCTCTTGCCCCCAATTTCAGTGATCATGAAGAATCTCGACCATCCACATATCGTGAAGCTGATCGGTATCATTGAAGAGGAGCCCACCTGGATCATCATGGAATTGTATCCCTACGGTGAGGTGAGCTGGGGATGGCAGGAGTGGAACCCTGTTGAGCTGGGCCTCCGGTGGGATGCATTTAGAGCATGGACCCTTCACTCCCAGCTTCCTGCCCTCTGTATTCAGCCCAAACAACCCAGAGATCGTGTGTAGGGGATATTTCTGGAACATCTTGCCAACTTGGGTTTGCCGGGGAAGGGCTTGGTGGCTGCCCGCGGAGTCTGTGCCGGGGTCCTGATGGCATCTTCCCTCTTCCTACAGCTGGGCCACTACCTGGAGAGAAACAAGAACTCCTTGAAGGTGCTCACTCTCGTCCTGTACTCGCTGCAGATTTGCAAGGCCATGGCTTACCTGGAGAGCATCAACTGTGTCCATAGGTGGGGCTGGGGAGAAAGCTGGGCTCCTCGATCTGACCGTGGAGGGGTTGGGGTCATGCGGGGCTTTGGAGTCACACAGACAAGTATTGAGACCCCAGCATTAGTCCTGCCTCACATGACAAGTCGAGCACCTGCTAGGAACCCATTGCCTCATCTGAAAGGTGGAATCGTCATACGTGCCTCATGGCATTGTTATTAAGACTAAATCTAAAGTGCGGGGCATCTGATTGTAGCTCGGCTCCATCTAGCCAGTTTCCCGGTGGGGTCTAGGAAATTGCTCCCCCACTTGCACGGAGCTGGCTCACCCATTTGGTGGCATGCGGCCCAGGCAGGGGGATGGGACTGGGGCAGCACCAGGAAGATCCTGGGGTCTGGGCCCTTCCCAGCCTGAGCAGCTGCCCCCCCCCCCCCGCCCCGTCCTTAGCAGCCCAGCTGCCAAGTCCTCTCCTCCCTCTGGCTGGGGGGTGGGCCCCTTCTCCACCTGGCTTTGTTCCCAGTCCCTGAAAGGAGGTTCCAGCCACAAGGGATGTGATCCCCTGGAGGAGACAAAGGGGGTGCTCCCAGAATATTGGGGTGAGTAGATGAATTCTTCAACCCAACACCATGGACGTGGGATATGTGGTCTTGTGGGTGATACTATGCAAAGCAATGTGTGGGGATATAAACGTTCATTCATTCATTCCATTCACTCATTCAACACCTCTGGAACTTCTACCCTGTGTCTCCAAGTGCTGTCCTTGGCTCTGGGATAAAGTTGTAGTCAAAACAGACCCAAACTCCCTTTCCTTGTGGAGCTTACCTTCTAGGATGAGGGTGAAATTCGAGATGTAAATAAATAGATAAATAGTCATGAGGGGAAGGTGGTGGGATAACAGATCTGTTTCCCTTGTTTGTTTGGGTGAAGCTGTCCTGCTTTGAAGTCAGCTTTTCAGTAATAAAGACAAATGATAGGGAATGGAGCCTGCCTGTGAGAAGCAAGCAGATGACCCTGGGTTAGAAACGATGCCAGGAACATGAGGTACACTGAGTCAGTGGGTGCTCCCCAGAGAGGGATGAGAGCTCAGCTCTGGAGTTAGGCTGCCTGGGCTGACCCCTTTCCCCACCCGGGGAACCTACTGGGCAAGCTCCCTCGGCTCTCTGTGCCCCCCAGCCCCGTCTCCTCCTCTGTGCCGGGGCTGGTGGGGGGCGTCTGAGGGTCTGTCTGTCACAAGGCAGGGTATGTACAGAATTTGGGTGGTCCTGACCATCCTAGTGCTCCCTAGAGGGTATCTGGGAGCTGTTGCTCTTAACCACGACAAAAGCCTACAGTCCAATGGAGTTGCAGAAGCAGGGGAGAATAGTGACCAGGAAAGGTGCTGGGGCTCTCCCTTGAAGAATCAGCAGGGTGACAACATTCCTGGCAGAGGGGAGGATACAGCCTGCAGGGCAAGTGTGCGGAGCAAGTCCTGGGAACCTGAAGTTGGCTTCACACTGGAGCCACGTGAGGAGGGGTGATGGGAGATAAAGCTCCCCAGGGAGGTAGAAGGAGGTGGCTGAGGGCCTCGTGTGTGGGGGGACCTGGACGGCCAGCCCAGCCTCTTGGGGCCCTAGCCGGCACTCTTCTCCTTTACCTCTCTGTCCATCTGTCTGTCAGAACAAAACATTCTGAACCTCCACATCTCTCTCCCAGGGACATCGCTGTCCGAAACATCCTGGTGGCCTCCACTGAGTGTGTGAAGCTGGGGGACTTTGGCCTTTCCCGGTACATTGAGGATGAGGAGTATTACAAAGGTGAGGGATATTCAGCCCCGGACTTGTCCCTGGAGGGGTCGCTGCAGCCCCACCCCACCCCAAAAAAAGAAAGAAAGAAGGAAAGGCTACAGTTGGTCAAGCCCAGGCCAAGGGTTTCTGGAGAATAGGCTGTAATTCTGGATAATTCTGGATCTTTCTTCACAAAATAACCCCTGTGAATCTCTTTGCCCACCCAAAGCCTCTGTGACCCGTCTCCCCATCAAGTGGATGTCCCCTGAGTCCATCAACTTCCGCCGCTTTACAACAGCCAGTGACGTCTGGATGTTTGGTGAGTGGAGTTTCAGAAGAGCATGGGAAAGGGTTCTGATTCTCCCCTCCATGACCAGGCTAACGGGGTACAGGAGGCAGAGAGGTCTGGCCCCCCATCCCTGGGTTGCAAGGGTTCTGTTTTTCTGTGGCCACTGAGAAGTCCCAGAAGTGGGGGGCCCGTGGTGGGTTGGGGATGATATGGGCTAAAGGCCTGCCTGGACACTATTGGTTAGTATTCCTGGAAAAGGCTCCTGAGGGGAGCATGCACTCCACCAACCAGTCCCAGGGACTGATGTGATCCCCTAGAGGGGATCAAACTCTGAAGTTTGTTCTGAGAAGGAGGTATAGGGAGAAAACAAGACCAGGTGATAGATGGACAGCCCCTGACAGAGCACACAGCCACGTAGATTATCCCTCTCAGTTCTCCACAGCCAGCCCAGTAAAAGCTCATTATTATTATTCCCATTTTCCAGATAAGGAAACTGAGGTTCAAGCAGGCCAGGGGCTTGTGTTGGCAGCAAGTGTTGGTGCTAGGCTTCAAACCCCAGCTTTCCGATAGAGTCTTCACTCCCTCTTAAGGGAAGGCACTGGTGGTCCCAACAATATGCCCTTTGGCCCCTCTTCCTTGTCCCACAAAATCTAATAGCTCCCTGTGGAAGGGCTCTAGGGAGGGGATCCTTGGTTCACTTGGAGATGCAGGTGATTGGTCCCTCAGTGGCCCACCACACTGGGCAAGCCCCCAGGGATGCTAGACGGGGAGGCTGGGGAACTCAGAAGGTCCCACAGTTTTTCCTGAGGAAGGTGGACTGGACTCTCCGGGTATGCGTCCTCCACAGTGCAGGTTCTGAGCCCTCTCTTCCTGCCTTCAGCTGTCTGCATGTGGGAGATCCTGAGCTTTGGCAAGCAGCCCTTCTTCTGGCTGGAGAACAAGGACGTCATCGGGGTGCTCGAGAAAGGGGACCGGCTGCCCAAGCCCGACCTCTGCCCACCTGTCCTCTACACCCTCATGACTCGCTGCTGGGACTACGACCCCAGTGAGCGGCCCCGCTTCACTGAGCTCGTGTGCAACCTCAGGTGACCATGGAGCAGGGGTGGGGGGCTACAGGTGCAGGGAGCCCAGATAGCAAGTCTCCTCTTCAACTGCCCTTAGGGGCTTAAAACGAACGTACTTCCCTAAACAAGATGCAGTTGGCATGACCACCTTAAGGATGAGAGAATTCAGGCTCAGAGCTGTGGCCATGACGGGTGGGGTTGGGACTTGCACCAGGACCTCCCCTCTGACCAACACGGAGCCATGTGTCCAAGCGGAAATGGCTGGTCCTCCCAGCAGAAGCACAGTGCCCTACATGTCACAGAGGCTCAGCAGCTCGGTCAGAGGACAGGGGATTGAAACCGAGTTCACTGTCAGATAGGAACTCACAGACAATGAGCCTGCGTAAGCCTCACCATCTTGGTATCTGTCAACCCCAAGCACGAGATGTTGCTCCTAGCATGCATTCCAAAAATATTTTGCAGGTTTGAGCACAAAGTCTAAACCAGACTTTCATTGATGTGCCTAGGCTCTTTGCAGAGATTGCTCTTTACAGGAGGCCCAGCTCGGGCATGGGACCTGCATTCCCAGCAACACCCTTGAGCCTCTGTGCCTTTGATTGTTCCTCCCAGGTAGTGGGGAAGGGAGTGATTGATTTTTGACCATTAAGACAGCGACCCGGGGGTGGCCTCTCCTTTCTGATTAGAGCATTGGCAGCCTGAAGGTCTGATGTTTCATCCAAGAGCCATTATTCTCTCCTGGGGAAGGGTGCTGTCAGATCACATTTTAGATGGTCCCCTTGTTTCCTTGGTGGCTTGCGTGCCAACAGCTCCTCCTTGGGTGGTCTGACTTTTTTTTGGCCTCCTTTAGGGCAGGGATCAGCAAACTTTCTGTAACGGGCCGGACAGTAAATATTTGGGGCTTTGCAAGCCATATATGGTCTCTGTTAAAACGACTCAACTCTGCCATAATAGCTCAAAAGCAGCCATAGAAAATACATAAAAAATCAATGTGGGTAGCTGGGTTTCAGGTAGATTCTTTGGGGGAACAGAAATTTGAATTTTATATAATGTTCACATGTCATGAAGCTGCTTCTTTTTATTTTCTTCAGTCATTAAAAATGTAAAAAATATACTTAGTTTGGAACTATATAAAAATAGGCGGAGGGCTAGATTTGGCCTGTGGGCAACAGTGTGCTGACCCCTGCGTTAGGGAATCTAGTGCTTAATTAATGTTAAAAACAACTGACCTTAAACACTGCAGTCAATGTGTTGGCATTTTTTAGAGAAAGAAAAGAGCCCCTGGAAACTGCTTTGCAGGGAGGTACCCCAACGGGCAAGCTGGGACTGTCCACACTGGGGCAGTGGGAATGACACTGAATTTGTTTGTGGGGCCAGGGGTTCCAACACGGTCTGCAAGGCGTCCAGCTTAAAAGACCTCTCTGTTCCTGTCTATCCCTTTGTTGACACCCCTGATTAATTCTAGTCTCATCGTTTGGTCCTTCATATGGGAAATTTGAGAAGCCAAAAGGTTCCAGGAAAAGTATTTGAAAAATGTAATTTGAAAGGACCAAAGCTCTGAGGTGATGAGGGTAAGAGGGAGATCTTAATTCATTCTGGGGGCTTAAGAACCCTGGGGAGTTGTGACAGGTGCTTCTCTGTGGGCTGAGAAGGATGCCCCATTAAAGGACCCAGGCCAGCCCCCACCATGGATGGAGTTAGGAGCAGCCTTTCTGTGGAACTGGAAAGATATCCAAAGACCCCAAGGAGCCCAGGATACCCCCCTCAAGCTACAGCCTGGCAGTCCTCCATTAGAGTTAAGAAAGGATTAGATGAGAATTTCCTGATCTTGTGGGCATAAGAAGGTCCCTTTTAATGTCAAATTCTGAAAATTCCTCCCTGTAACAATAGTTACATTTTCAGAATTTATTGATTGGCAAAATGTACTAAGCCATCTGATGAATTTTTTATATAATGTACAGTATAATTCATGTACACTTGAAAATATAATACAAATATTATATGTCTGGTAGCACATAATACTTGGTCTACAGACAGGGAATACATGTGAATTCAGGGACCCCCTGTGACCATTCCAGAGTCCTCTAGGGTCTGTGATTCCCAAGTTGGGAAACAGTGGATTGAGTAAGAAGGGCAAGAAGCATGCACATAGCTAACCCGGGAGTTGAATCCACAGCCATTTCTCATTAGTCTACGCCAGGAATGTGTTGGTGGGTGGTTTAATGAAAAATAGGAGATGCAGAGCACAGGCCTTGGTCATGAAGTTGGCTGGGATATTAGAAATCTACAGAGGGGGGGTGGTAGCAGGCCCAGGAAGGCAAGATGCATGGCAAGGTGGGCGGAAGACACACTTACACTGCCCTGTAGGACTGGCTCTCCAAGGGCTTTTCCCACCATGGATCCATTCCTGTGATTCTCCCATCTTCACTGTTGGGGAAGCAGCCTCAGGGTCCATCTTCCAGCCTTCTCAGAGGGGTCTCCCCAGCCACTCTTCTGAGGAGACAGAAATGGGACCCAGAGGTCCTTCTTTGGGCCTCTCCAGGCTTCAGAGGAAGGACTGCAGAAAAGGGGCCCCAGGAGCATCTTTAACTTTGTTCCTCTTTCTTTATCTGACCGACTCCTTGGCAGTGACATTTATCAGATGGAGAAAGACATCGCTATAGAGCAGGAGAGGAATGCTCGCTACCGACCTCCCAAAATCTTGGAGCCCACAGCCTACCAGGAACCCCCACCCAAGGTAAACCAAGCCCTGGTCTCATGGGTCCTGTGAATCAAGCAGAGCTGGGTCTCCATCTAGCCCACTCCTGGCCTGACTCTGTAACTCCTCCCTCTTCCTCCAGCATAGGCAGGATGTGCTCCCGTGGTCCTCTTGGCCTTCAACCCAACTGTCCGCCAGCACTAAATTTAGCCCCCATCACATGGGTGCCCTGGCAGGTGTGATCTGAGGCCCCAAGAGAGCACACCCCTCACAGGGCAGCTAGGGCAAGGAATCACCCTGGACACTCTTCCCTTGAGAGGCTGGAGCACTTTTATTTCTGGTATTTTTTAGGGGCAAATTAGATGTCCCTGAGGGCATATGAAGGGGAGTGTCCCTGGGTCCCTTATGTCCAGCCTCCATGCCCACACTCATGACATCTCTGGACTCAGAATCCAGTGCCTTGCTACCATGCCATTATGTGGGTGGGTTTTGAGGGACCATATCCATATTAGTCAGCTCAGACTGCCATAACAAAATACCATAGACTGAGTGTGGAGGCTGGGAAGTCTAAGATCAAGGTGCTGGCAGATTCATTGTCTGGTGAGGACTCTCTTCTTTATTTACAGATGGCCACCTTCCCACTGTGTCTTAGCACAGCAGAGAGAGCAAGAGCTCTGGTGTCTCTTCTTATAAGGACACTAATCCCCTCATGAGGGCCCCAGACTCATGACCTCATCTAACCCGAATTATCTGGCAAAGGTCCTACCTCCATATGCCATCACACTAAGGGTTGGGGCTTCAACATATGAATCTGGGGGCGGGGGCGGCACAAATAGTCCATAACAAAGTCCTATCTGGTCCAAGGCCTTTTCTCACTGTCCCCCCTTGCCTGGCATGCCCTGATCCTTCCCTCAGGCAGGGCCCAGCTCAATTTTCATCTCCTCCATGAAGCCTCTGCACGTGCCTGAGCCCTTGGTAACTTGTTACCTCTAGAAGCATGTGGCTTTTGACAGCTGATTTGACAGGTGTTCCCATATCTAAAGAGGTTACACACCAAAGATCAGTAAACCCTTCAATTAGTGATACCCCCAGGAGGGCAGAGAGACTGGCTTCTTTGTACCTTCTCATCACTCAGCACATAATGGGTGCTCAGTAAGTGAATGCAAATGATTTTAATGATAATTTTGCCCCTCATCTCTCCTTTATTCTGAATAAGCCTGACCTGTGTCCAGCCCAGTATTCCCCTTGGTGAGCTATGCTCACTCAAGGAGAGAGGCATGGACTGACTCATCTCTGTGTTTTCTCTCCAGCCCAGCCGGCCCAAGTATAGACCCCCTCCACAAACCAACCTTCTGGCTCCCAAGCTGCAGTTCCAGGTAAACATGTAACCAGAGGGCTGGGAAATTTGGGGTCATTCCTCATCTCGGACCTTCCTGAAATTCCATTCTCGTGCCTTGGAGGACTAGCAATTATTACCTGCTTGGGTTATGGAGATGGCCTGCATTGACTCTTCTTTGGTACCCACAAGAGAATTTGCACTCAGAGTGCCCAGAGATCAAAAGAATCAAAATGCAATTCTACCAGACTCTCCTCAGCTAAGACTTGCCTTAAGCTCAGTCCATCTGTCCATAGTGTTTGTTGCTCTGTGTGCCTGCCTATAGCTACTTCTCTATTCCCAAGGCCTTCCTGGCCCCCTACCCAGAGCAGAGCTTTCTGAGAAGGAATTTCAAGCAGTTGGGAATAGTTGATGTTCCCAGAGGATGGAGTTGCTCCCTGGGGCTCCCCATGGAGACCTTAGGCAGAACCCAGGTGGCCAGAAGCTGAGAGCAAGGTTCCATTGGAGCTTTCCTCATGCCTCCATCATTACCAACCATGGGATCTTCCCAAGATGTCAGTCCCTGTCTGAGAATGTCTCTGTCTTGTGTCTCTGTCCTGCATCTCAGTCACAGGGAGCCAAGGCCCATCTCTTTTCTTCTCTTACATCCCTCAGCTCAGAATCACTGATCAACAGTGGAGCATCTCAACCAATAGAAACAATGTTTATCTGGTGCTCCTTAGAGAAAAGTGGTGTCCCATGGTCATATATTTCTCAAGGAAACACTTCAATACCAAAACAAGGCTAACCAAGAACTAACAGCTAAATCCTTGTTGTGTGAAGAAGAAAACCTTGATGCAGAAGAGAGAAGCAATATTCCTGAAAAGAATCATACCCTTTTGTGATGTTTAAAATAGTGATTAAATACAAACACACACACATATTTCTGTGGGCTAATCATACCTGTGAGTTTGCGACATGCTTATGAAATAGAACTCCTTTCTGAAGAGTCCTGAAGGAGGAGACATGGACTCAGTAGGTCAGTAACATAAAGTGAACCCCATTGTACGCAGAGCGTCATATGGTTGGCTGTCAGATGAATGAGGCCACAGGGGCTGCACTGACTCCTAGCCAAGAGCCGTGTGCGTCACCCTGCCATGTCTCCCAAACAAGACCAACGAAATGCCCACACCACATCCTTTGTTAGCTCCTGAAGAGCAAGTCCGATGTCTCCTGTGGTGCCCATTATTGCTTCTTTGTGCTCACGTTTGTAGCAGCTAATTGTCCACCTTCTTGTCTCGTCCCTGTGCTGGTGCTTCTTTACTTCTCCTGAATAGGTCCCTGAGGGTCTGTGTGCCAGCTCACCTACGCTCACCAGCCCTATGGAGTATCCATCTCCTGTAAACTCACTGCACACCCCACCTCTCCACCGGCACAATGTCTTCAAGCGCCACAGCATGCGGGTAAGAGGGCTCTGCATGCTGGGTCCTAGCCCGAACTCAGAGAGCTGCTAGAGGGAGGTGTCTGGGACACCAGGAACCCCACATCCTCCAGCTCAGGAGGGGCCCTCCATGCTTTAATGCACCAGTCAGTCCATCAAGGGGCTCTGTAACTTCCCCTCTTTTGCAAACACATTGGAAGCTGGGGGCCAAGTCAGGCTCTGCTCCCAAGGACACTAGCTGGACCTGGACCTGCCCCTGTCCATACTTTGGTGCTATGTTTCCTGAGCCCTGGGGCAGGGGTGGGGGGCGGTAGTATGGTGGCTTGTGGGCAGAGGGTAACCAAGCTTGATGGTGCCAGAGAATAAAAGATCCCGGAGGTTCTGCCTAGTTCTGCCCTTCCTGCCTGGTTGCTTCGGTTGCTAAATCTCTCCTCAGTCAAAGGAAAAGTTTCCTTGTGGCTATACTCCTGCTGCTTTTGTCAAAGTTGATGTTGTACAGGAAGGAGCTTGGGGGTTAGTGTGGGGCTAAACCACCCTTCCCAGTCACGTCTTTGTGTAACCGCCAATGGGGCCCTGAGTACTTCGTGGACTAGCTTCTAATTGTCAAGTTTTGTGGGGGGAAAAAAAGGCAGCTTTGCTTGTAAAAGAGATACCCACTTGTCACTTCTCAGCACCCATCTTCTCCTTCAAAGGAGGTGTGATCATCTGGCATGAATATTTGATATACTTTACTAAACTGAGTCTTGATATGTGACAAAACAAACCAAAGGCATTATTTTAGTTCTAACTCTGTATACATGCATGATATTTCAGACTCAGGATACATGACTCTAAAAGTTTTTGGAAAAACTCCATGTTTATTACAATAGATTTGAAAAATATAGGAAAGTTATGTTGGTATATTCTGTACCATTATTTTTAATTTAGCAAAATTGTGAAATGCGTAAGGTAACTTAGAATTCTAGGCAGCAAGATCTATTGTGAACTAAATTTTCCCCTGACCTAGCTCATTTTCCTCTTTTAAATTAATTTAACCAATTTATATCTTAACACAATAATAAAACTGCATTTTAAAGTATGCACTATAATTTAGGCAATGCTCAGTTCCTCCACCTTCCTGTCCTTGACTCTATTCGTAATTGAGTTTTGCTTTAAAATGTGTCCTTTTAGAAAAAGCTATTTTGCACATTTCCGGGGTGGCACTGCCTTTGTCTAATCCCCCTTCACCATAAGACTTTGTTCAGTTCCATAAAGACATACTGTGCAGCAGGGAAGAAAAGACTTTTTGTGTTAGGGGTTTAGAAGTACTTGTCGTAAGGAAGGTCTATGTAAAGGAATATAATGGATGTTTCTTTAAGTAAACAAAAAAAAGTAAAAAATATAAAATCATTTTATAATATACATCAGAAAGACTGAGAAAACTTCTTTTAGGTAGAATGCTGGAAAGGTATAATAGGCTTCCTGCAAAGCATCTGAAAGCATTTAACAAAAATCAGAGATGGTTTCCCCACAAAAACAATTTTTCTACTGACTGACTCTCTTGCCTGACTCATCTGGGAATCTGGCATTCCACACAAGAGTCAGGATGGCAGCAATCTCCCTCTTGAAGACCTCACAATTGAGGTTTAAAATTATAATAAAATTCAATGAACTACCTTGTGCAGGAACGCTTTGCCAGGCACTGTCCTAGGTGCTGAAGGGAGAACAAGGGTGTTCTGCTTTCGGTGAGCTTCAGGCAGCCAGAAGGAATACAGCAGATGCACACTTACCTGTAATGCAAGCCATAAAGCTGTGAGTGGCACACAGAGGTAATGGAAAGGTGCACTGGGAGTTTAGAGAGAAGAACAGCTCTTTCCAGCTTCTTTTTTTTTTTCAGCTGGGCCTCGAAGGATGGGGAAGATTTGGACAGGAAGAAACTGGGGTATGGGAAATAAAAGAGGCAGATGCATTAGTAGAATCCAAGACTAAGTAATGGGAAGCCACAGGGCAAGTGCAGGACCTGTTTGGCTAGAACACAGGAGGATGCATTTGGAGGTGGAAATAAAGCTGGCAAGATGGGAGGGGGTAGTCAAATTATGGAAGGAATTACAGCTTGTGAGAGTCATTTTAAGACACTATGAGAGCCTGATTCCTTTTAAAAGTGACCAGCAATCTAAGTTGCTATTGCCTGATAAGAATATCTGAGGTATCTTGCAGACAAGTAAGCCCTAAAGTGATCAATTTTTTAAAATCTTATTTTCTCCTTGAGTTTTATTATGAAATTGTAAGACATAGGAACATTTTCCCAATACGTGTTAAAATATTTGGTGAGATGGTGATCAGGCCTGGGACATCCTAGGCAGTTGAGTAGTGGGAATTTTCCTTTAACACTTACAAAACTATACAATGTTTTCTTGAGTCTACTAACTTCCTCTACCAGTATTTAGTCTCTCTCAGTCTAGTCTAGTCTAGGCTAGTCTAATCTCACCTAGAGATTTGATTGTCAGAATATTTGACACTTAGTTCCTATGTGTCACTATTTGTCAATAGCCTGGGGTAGCCATACCATTGTGTTTGTAGGTATCGACATTTAACTGCAGATATTTATAACCTTCAAATACCCTCATTTTGGAGCATCAGCATCTGGGAAATAAATCTTATTTTATCAATTCTGTGATTGTAAAATACTCTTATGACCTGAAACTTATTTTCTTAAAATAAGGTCTAACTCAGTAGCCTTCAGCTGAGATGATCTTGCCTCCGAGAGGACATTTGGAGATGTCTGGAGGTATTTTGTTACAACTGGGGAGATGCTAAAAGCATCTATTTTGTGGACTTGCTGCTGAGCATCCTCCAATTTACAAGAAATCTCCCCCAATAAAGAATGATCTGACCCCACATGTTCATGGTGCTGAGGTTGAGAAACTTGGTCTAACTGTTGCTTACTTCACCCTCTGAGAACAGGGACATTGCATATTTTATCATCACTGCCCTCCCAGCACCCAGCCCTATGCCTGCCACAAAGTAGCTGCTTAATAAGTAGGTGTTGAATAGAGTAACAAAGAGTATTTCAGCAAGAAATCTAACTTGCGGGGGGGTCGGCGGGGGAAGAATTGTTAGAAATCGAAAGCCGTGATTGAAACTCAGTGAGCACTAGGAAAAACACCAATATAACTAATCTGAAACTGTGTGGTTATATTCAAGTGTGTTTTAAAGGGTTTGGTGGGGAAAATCTTTTTTAGAGGCTTGGCAGAGATTATGGCTTGCTAAAGTAGATAGAGAATAATTTTTAGCATTCTATGCTAGTGACTTGTATGTAAAATGGCCACTTTAAAAGCAAGGATCTGAAGAGGCTGCTGGTCTGGATGTCACAGAAGGGTCCTGCTCCTGACAAAGGTCACCCCGGGCTTTCTGCAATCAAAAGAATGACAATAGCACACATGAGTCTGGGAGGCCAAGGTGATCGCGTGAAGCAGAAAAAAGCCAGAGTTTGAAGGGACGAGAAGATACTGATATAAATGAACCCTGGGGAAGAATGAGGGGAAAGAAGGAGTAAGAAAACATGTAACACCTTCTGTTTAAGAACTCCCAGGTGAAACTATAGTTCCAGAGCCCTTCAAATGAGTTAAAAGGAGGGTTAGATTAATAAAGCTAGGGAGAGCAAGCATGTACTGCATATCTATAGATCCATATTGCTTTAAATTTCGTTCTTCACTTTTCTCTTAGCTCATGCATTTCTTTTAGCCTTTGGTTCGATAACCCAAGCTACTACTAGCTTAATAAAGAGTATGTTTTCACAAAAAGGCACCATCACATGGGTGCATGCTGTCACTCCTTCCCTCAGCCTGCATCCCTCCATGGTCAACTTTGCAGGACTGCACACCGTGAGCCTAGAGGCGGCGCCGTGCTTCTCTAAGCTCCCAGACCCCCTGCCACGGTGTTCCGGTGGCGGCGATAAGCACCCAAGGCTTTCCAGAGGGCTGGCTTTGCATTTTTAAATGTATGAAGTGACTGCAACCATGACAAATGCCAACTGAGAAAATACTATTAGGGCAGTAATTTGAAAATGAAATTGTGTGAGCAGATCCTGTAATTGTTCATATACAATGCATGTTCAGTGCTGCGCTCTCAGGTTTGACATGATACTGCAACATAGCCAATAACTGTCTGCATCCATGGCTAAGGATTTAAGAACAAACCTTGCAAGAAACAAAGCAGCAGGCGAGGCCAAGCTCTGTGGCTCCCACAGGCTCTTCGGGGGATTGCCCTGCCTGGGTCTGGGCACTGGACTCATCGTGTCCTCTCCTCTCTCCCCGCTGTCCTCTCAGGAGGAGGACTTCATCCGACCCAGCAGCCGAGAAGAGGCCCAGCAGCTATGGGAGGCCGAGAGGCTCAAGATGCGACAGATCCTGGACAAGCAGCAGAAGCAGATGGTGGAAGATTATCAGTGGCTGAGGCAGGAGGAGAAATCCTTGGTGAGCAGCCTCTGAGCCGTGGGTGGGAGGGGACCCCACTCTCTGCAGCTCTGCTGAACACAGTGATAAAAGTGCTTGAATGGGAGCGATGTCCACACCACCGTGTCCACTTGGGTCCTCGTGCATCCCCAGCTGACGAGGAGGAAGGCTCTCTGTGCGTCCTTAGGGTTTTCGGTTCTAGGATCCTAAATCGTTTGCTTCGATTTCCTCCTCTGCAGGACCCCATGGTGTACATGAATGACAAGTCCCCGCTGGTAAGTCACTGGGAGTGATCTCTGTCTTAAAGTCAAGGCCTGGGAAGGCATTGGAGACAGCGGGACCCCAGCACCAGGCCCCCTGCCTGCCCATTCCTTCCCTTTCTGCCTCTCCCTCTGGGAGCTCGACTCCTCCCTTCTCCTTGATCTCCACGAAACTCCGAAGCTCCGCTTGTGGTTCCTTGGCTCCGGCTGGATCAACAGCCATAGCGCATCCCCCGCCTCTGCCACCGGGCCCTCGGGTGCAGCGGGGAACAGGTCAAGGTGGGGAGCGGGGTGTGCCCAGGGCTGCGCTGGTGACAGGTTCTCTTTCCTCCCTTCCAGACCCCGGAGAAGGAGGCCGGCTACAGTAAGTGTTCGCGCGCTTCCTTTGGGCGGCAGCTTCCGCTTGACCTCGCGTGGGGAGCGCTCCCGCATGCTCCTTGCCCACCCCAGAGGCCGAGGGTTCGCCATTTTCAGAAACTGACTGTTTCAGTTCCGAGCGTGCAGAGAGGGCCCGTTTGGGAACTGATACCTACACTCTGCTCCATCTACCACCCCCGCCCTCTCCCTGCCTTGGCCCGTCTCTCTCGTCTCTCCCTCTTGCCGGGTCCTCAGCCCTCGCTTCACTGATCTCCTCTTGCATGTATTTGGAGGCCTCGGCGGTTCTTCCGTCCTGTCCCCCCTCACTCTGTGCGAGGCTGTCTGTGGTGGAGAGTAGCTCCGCCCGCCTCTCAGCTGATGCCTCTCTTCGCTAGGCCCAGGGGACGGAAGGGAGAGGGCAGCTGAGGACGCAGGGCCTTTCCAGAAACTGCTGCTGAAGGGGGGGGGGGAGCAGGGAGAGCCAGCAGTGAGCCAGGCTCATCATCATCCTCCTAGGGAGGGTGTGGCTGATGAGGGTGGCGATGGGGATGATGACAATCATGACAATGACAGCGACCAATGACAATGACAACAGTCACTGGAACCGGAACACTAGCCAAGCGCGGGCCCAAGTTGCTTGCAAATGTCAGCTCTAACCTCACGGCAACCCTGTCGGATAGATACAATGAATCATTATGTCCATTTTACAAAGGACATGAAACTGAGGCACAGAAAGGTCAAGTAACTTATCCAAAGTCACACAGCTAGTAAATAGCAGAGCTCTGACTGAAGCCCAGGCAGTCCGGCTGCAGGGTCCCTTCTGAGCGAACCTCCTATTTAACAGATGAAAAGTAAGGGCCAGGGAGTGTAAGTGAGCTGCCCCAGGTCACACAGCTGTCTGGCGGCAGAAGGTTAGAGAGTAGAACCAACCAGTCTTCTGGCTTCCATTCCTGCTCACTCTTCCAGCAACTTCACACGCCTTGCGCATGTCTTTGCTTTTCAAAGTGTGGAGTGAATAGTGTGGTTCCTCAGCTGTTTCACTTCCTGGACCCCCAAATGCTCAAGGCAGACCATCAGGAAATCCTCACAAAGCTACCCCATTAACTGCTCTGGCACCGGGCTGAAGATTCTTCCCCATGAATGTCAAGGCCAGAGTGTGTGCTTGGGGGCCAATGTGCAACCGGCAGAATCTGGAGCACCTGCTGTAATCACTCCATCTCCACTGCAACTTTGGATTTGTCTTTCTATCAAATGGACAGCAGTGCCTGACTGTGGGAGGGCCAGGGAGCCCAGAGGTTATTTTCCCAGCCACCTTCCCGGAGACACCTTTGACCTTAGCTTCCTTGAGTCTCCTGGTAGCAGAGGAGAGGGGGTTGGCTTGGTTATCTGCAGGTATGAAGGGAAGGGCCAGGGTGCTGAGACCTCCCCCCCCCGACTTACTCTCCCTCCCCCTTGCAGCGGAGTTCACGGGCCCCCCACAGAAGCCACCACGGCTGGGCGCGCAGGTATGTGTTGGCGGTGCTGAAGCTGGTAATGAGTTTGAATCAGAGCTATACAAGACACAAGGCCATGAGCTGTGAAGGCTTCAGAGGCCCTCAGAAGGAATCCAGTCCTGCATCTTCATTGTAGAGCTGAGGCTCAGAGAGAAGTACCTTGTTTAAGGCCACATAGTGAATTCGTGAAAAAGCAAGGGGAAACCCAGTCTCCTCATCTCCTGTGCCCCCCTCCCTGACCTGGAAGAAAGCTCATTGACCCAGCCCTAGGAGCAGGAAGTGTGGACCCCCTTCCTCTCTCAAGCTGTCCCCGTGGCTTCCTGCACCCACACTGTTCTCCCAGTAGCCTGGGGCCAGGTGCTGGCTTTCCTCACTCTGGAACAGTGGCTATGAGCCTTGGCCCCTGTTAGAACCATCCGAGGAGCTTGGAAAACCACCCGGCCCCCAAACCCAGGCCGATTCTCATCTGAGAACCACTGCCCTGAAAGCAGAAAGGGGGGATGCACCCCCCCAAGGACAGGGCACCATTATTCCGGAGAAGAGTCTTTTCAAATTGGGCTAGAGGCTGTGTTGGCACAATAGTGCCTGCCCAAGAAAGAATCACAGTGTCCCCCAGACTCACGACCCTCCCCTCTGGCCACTTGCTTCCTGCCCCACCCCCACAGTCCATCCAGCCCACAGCCAACCTGGACCGGACCGATGATCTGGTATACCTCAATGTCATGGAGCTAGTGCGGGCTGTGCTGGACCTCAAGAATGAGATCTGTCAGCTGCCTCCCGAGGGCTACGTGGTGGTGGTAAAGGTGAGAGCCATGGACAGGGCAGGTGGAGGCTGCTCATTCTGGCCCTAGGTGGAAGGGGGTGGAGCTGGGCTTCCTCGTCTGCCCAGCAGGTGCCTTTCCCAGAAAGACTCCCTTTAGTGCAAAGTGGTTGGCGGGAATTTAGTGCCAGGGAGTCGTGGAGGGCAGGTACCATCCCAGGAGGGCTCTTCCCCAGGGAAACACGGCTTTCTCCAAAAAGCCACGGGTGATAGTCACCCTACCCCTCTCTCTCGCAGAACGTGGGCCTGACCCTGAGGAAGCTCATTGGGAGTGTGGATGATCTCCTGCCCTCCTTGCCGTCATCCTCCCGGACAGAGGTGGGTATGCTCCTGAAGCTGAAGACAGTTCATCCACTGTCACTTCTGCCCTTCACCTTCACCCATCCCCAGCTGCGCTTCACACAGGAGACTCAGAAGGACCACATGGGCAGCCTCGTGTCTGTCTGCCGAGCCTTCCACACGTGGCTCCGCACAACAGATCTGAGCGGGACCACAGGGGGGCTGAGTGGGCACCCAGGGACCCGACCAGCCTCCTAGGGGGCGTCTCCCCATTTAAGTCTTAGAGAGTTGCGGTGATTTCGTAATGCACGAGGGTGTGCAAGGGAGGCAGACCTTCCCTTTTTCCTTTTCCCTCCCTGTGACTCTTTATCTAATCAGCTGCCACACTAAGGCTAAGTGTACTAAAGTACTTTGCAGGTGTGATTAAGTTAAGGATCTTGAGATGGGGCGATTATGCTGCATTATCCAAGTGGGTGCAATGAGGCACAAGGGTCCTTGTAAGAGGGTGTCGGAAGCAGACATCCTATAAGAGTCAGAGAAGGAGGTGGGATGACAGAAGCAGAGGTTGGGATAATGTCACTGCTGGAAGGATCCAGAAGCCAAGGAAGGCAGCAGCCTCTAGAAGCTGGAAAAGGCAGGGAACAGATTCTCTCCCCTAGAGCCTGTAGAAGGAGCATGGCCCGGCTGTCCCCTTGACTTTAGCCCCATAGGACCCATTCCAGCCTTCTGACCTCCGGGAGTGGAAGAGACTAATCTGTGTTGTTTTGAGCCACCACCACCCCCCCTCCCCGCCCGGGTCATGGGTTGTTACCGCAGCTGTGGGAGACGCTGAACATAGTTGGACGCTGAACACTAGCGCCTCTGCACGTGTGTTGGTTGTCTGCCTGGAAACCAGCCATGGAGCTCAGCACAACCCCATGCCCCCCACCAGGCTGTGAGCCAACAACACAGCACAGGGACGGCCGCCTCACACCGCTGTCCCCACAGCCTGTGACTGTTGGAGACCAGAGGATGCGGGAGGGCTTGGGCATTTCCCAGCCTCCCTCTGGGTGGCAGCAACAGCCCATAGAGGAGCCCCAGCTGGAGCTGTCCCTTCGGATGTGAGAGGTCCTTACCCTCCACGTGAAGGCTCCGTCATTCATTTCACTTGGTAAATATCTCGAGGGCCGAGTATGCGCTCAGCAGTGTGCTAGGCACTGGGATACGGTGGTCAACCAAACTCTACAGCTCAAGCCATGGTCCCTGGTCTCTTGATTTGAAGGTAGACAGCTAACACATGAATGAGCTCACTTGTCCCCTGACCGTTCACTCTGACCTTGGGCCAGCACGAGGGATGCAGCCGTGAAGGGGACAGTCTGTGGGGCTGCGTCAGACTGAGCTAGCATGGGGTGGGCTGGGGTGGGCTGGGGTGGGCTGGGGTCTGCGGCATCTGCAATGTGTGTCCTTACTGACCTGGCTCCAGCCCACATGGGACCTTAGGCTCAGTCCAGGCTTGGATCAGACCTGTCCTCCGGAGAACTTCCGCCTGCCTCGGCCAACACCAAAGGGGATACTTGCACGGCTTCCCCAATTCTCCAGGCTTAAACTTTGCAGCCCCTCAGGCTCCCAGCCTCTCCTGTGTGCTTTTCTTACAGATCGAAGGGACCCAGAAACTGCTCAACAAGGACCTAGCGGAGCTCATCAATAAGATGCGCCTGGCCCAGCAAAACGCCGTGACCTCCCTGAGTGAGGAGTGCAAGCGGCAGATGCTCACAGCCTCCCACACCCTGGCGGTGGACGCCAAGAACCTGCTCGATGCCGTAGACCAGGCCAAAGTTCTGGCCAATCTGGCCCACCCGCCTGCAGAGTGATGGAGGGTGGGCGCCACCTGCCTGCGTCTTCTGCCCCTGCCTGTAGTGTTCCCTCCCCTGCCCCCCCCCCCCCCACCGGCCCCTGCTTTGCCTTCGGTCATGTGGGTCTTCTCAGGGGGAAGGCTGCGGGGAGTCCTTCTTCCCTTGCCACTTTGCACGACCCCCTCTCCCCACCCCAACCCCCGGACTGTGCTGCTTAGGCTGCAGCTGGACAGAGGGGACTCAGGGCTATAGATGCCAGGGGGTGACCAAGAGGGCTCAGAGGAAGCCCTGCTGCTGCTGGCCGCTCCCTCCTCACACCTGCCTGCCCCACTGGGGGGGGGGGGGGGTCACACTAGTGCCCCTAGTGGGCACGATGGCTTTATGCGTGGACATGGCAGGCCTCTCTATTGGAGCCAAGCTATTCCTTCTTCTTCCGCCCACGGAGGTCCCCTGATGCACAGAGGGGCTGGGGAGGGGCTTTCCTTTTGGGGCCGGGCGGCTGGCGAGATGAGGGATGGGCCTGGCTTTCTTGTACAGTGTATATTGGAATTTATTTAATGTGAGTGTGGTCTGGACTGACAGCCGTGTGCCCCCCTGAGGGGGGACCTGGGACCCAGTCCGGGAACAAGCTATTGGGAGTCCGGGCACAAGACGCTCTGCTGTCAACACGCCAAGCGTCAGGGAGAAGGGGAGAGATGAGGCCAAAACAGGACTTGGACCACAATCTGCTCTCTTCCCTGTGCCCTTTCTCTCTCTTCCCTGACTTTGCCCCTTCCTTCTCTCCCTCTTTTCTTACTTCTCCTTTTCTCCGCCCCCCTTTCCCATCTGCCCCCCCCCCTCGTGTTTGTGCAAAACACTCTTTTACCTTCTTTCTATTTGACTTGTGGATGAATTAAAATTGTACCATTTGCTTTGTGGTTTGATTGCTTTGTTTGCTTGACCTGCGCTGTGTAGGGAGGGCGACACTGACCTCGGGCCACCGCCCTGGAGGAAATCGATGGTGCTCTGGTGTGTGCAGATCAAGAGCCGGTTCCAGGCTCGATCATGAGCACGGAGGGGTGTGTGGTGACACCGGGGCAGTAGGGGTCAGGGGCGTGCTCCAGCCCCTTCACCCCTGCGCCTGACCCAAGGGTGACTTTCCAGCGGGGACCCAGGGCAGCCCCCTCCTGCGCCACGTGAGCAATGCCAACGGCACTCTCCCAGCTGTCGTGCAAGCAACTGGGGCTCCAGTGGAGCTTCATTGGTCCTGGGGATGCTGAGGAGGGGTCACACAGCTGAATGAGCACCGGTCCTAGCTTTATTTCATCTCTTTACTCACATGCAAGGTGGATGGAAGATGGAATAGCATGAGGGAACGTCACTGCACCAGGATGGACGGAGAAGGGAGGCTGGGAGGCTGCCCCCACAGGAGCCGGGGGAAGCCAGAAACCAGATGGGTCGCCGAGTGGGGGGTCTTGGGAGGAACTGAGGAGTGGGGGTCTGGGCCGGGGTGTTGCAGGTTTCCTCTGTGATTGTCAGGGAGAGGTGAGTGGGGCACCCCAAAGGCCGAAGGGAAACCGGAAGTTCGCCCTGCTCAACTTCCTATCCAGGGTCCCCACATGGTCCAGAGAGCCAGTGTCCACTTCCGTTAGCTGCTGAGGTTCTGCCCTCTGAGGGCTGGACAGGCAGGGGGAGGCCTGACCCTGGGGCAGGAGCTCCTCGGGGCTCCAGCATGCGGCTGAGGGCTCTGGATTGCTGGATTCTGAGGTGCGAGGATTCTCAGGCTGCACAGAGTGGCTCAGAAGCCATTGAGGGGCTTCAGGAAGGACCAGGAGGCCAGGCTGGGAAGGGAAGCCGTCCTGCAGCTTCTGCATTTCCACAGCAGTCGATGTGCAAAGCAACCCAGCTCACTCCTGTCAGTCACTCTGAGCAAACTGTCCTGCGGGCTGGCCACCACTTGCCCCGCCAATGGGGCTTTTGAGTCAAGGATGGTCCAGGATACCTCCTGGTTTGTCAACGTGCATTCAAGGACAGATGGCGGGGACTGCAGCACGGCCAAACCTCTTGGGGCCGGCTGGTGCTGAGCCAGTTTGCAGCAGGAAGGTGAGGTGGTGTTGCTAAAGGTGAGGGGAAGCCAGGGGTTCAAATGAGCTTCCAGGCAGGTGGGACGGCCCAGCTACCTGCATCCAATCACACATCCTTCTGCCACTCAGAAGGTCTGACCTGTACCTCTACCCCACCTGTGGCCCTGCTTCCCCCTTTTTCTCCTTCCAGGAGAGTCTTGACCAACGTTAAACCCGCTTGAGGATCAGACTCAAGACACCCTAACCTGCCTTTCCAACCGCCTCCCACAGCTCCCACACTGAAGCTCCATCTCAGCCTGCCTGTTCTCCTAGACACCTTGGGCTCATTCCTGAATCCAAAATATTGTTCACAGCCCTTCCACCCCCTAAAGCACCCTCTCCCCTCTCCACCACGCACCCATCCTTTGAGGTCTGTGCCTCTACCCCCTGGATCGCCCCTCTTGGTCCTCCTGTTACTCAGTGTCTTCGTGGCTCCTACAGGAGAATCTTACATGGCTTCACATTGTCACCACCATATTATAACCTTCGGCAGAGCAAGTTCCTTATTTACGAGATCCCCAGCAGCCAAAACCTGGCTCTGTGCCCAGCAGAGTCTTGGCACACAGTACAATAACGTCAAATGAATTGACCCAAGGAGTCTTCGATGATCAGGCCAGTGTAGGGACTTGACAGAGAGTGACTGCAATCAGATGGCATTGACCCCAAAGGTGTACTAGATGGGGCAGTGGTTAAAGATGGTCAGCAGTGCCACCATTGGGTCAAAGCAAGGGACAGGAAATCAGATCATTTCAGCCAGGAACGGAGGAAGAAAGAGTCCAATGGTCCCCAGGAAGCAGACGATGATAAACAACCAGAGGAATATCCTATCAATGACCATGGCCACATACTTCCAGTCTTCCTTCACCTGCGGGTGGAAATGGGCTCGCTGTGACAGAGGCCAGGCCTTGGGAGAGGGGAAGTGTCCCCCCCATGAACAGCCTCTGTAAGGATGACACCAGGGACAGCAGTGGCCCCACTGAGACCTGGGGAAGTTAAGGTTGTCTCAAGACTCAAACAAGCCTCTCCTAGTGATCCCTATCCTATCCCACCCCTATGACATGACCCAGTGCCTTTCCATAGGCTCTCAATTTCCAGATAAGGGAGGCTAGATGTTCTAGAACCACCAAAGGGCATGGACCTTCCCAGAGGGGCTGCAGTGATTTAAACTCAACATCCGGCAGTTACAAAATGGTGAAGACTGTGCTTACCCACGTTGCCTCCCCACCCAATCCCCCACCCACTGCGCGAGGTGGAGAGGAGGAGTTGGTGAGGTAGGTGTGGCCCAGGGAAAGGTGGGAGGGTCATGGGGGGAGGGGCAGAGCTTTGTGGAATTTGGGCTTACAGCCCAAGCAAGCAGGTCTGGATTCCTACCTGCTCCCAGATTAGATAATGATTAATTTTTCTTATCCGCTCAACAAGGCCACCCACTAATAACCACCTGGCCTTTCATCCTTCCCTAGGCTGGTAAGAAGTCTGTGATCCCGAGCAGTGGCCTGCTGACCTACTAATGCCGCGCATGGCAGGGGCTGGGGAGGGGAGCCCACCTGGTACAACCAAGGTTCCTCAGGGTTTGTGGGTGAATAGTGAATTCCACAACATGCCCAGAGCCCACAAAACAAATAGAACTGGGAGGAAACCACCAGGACAAAGGAGGAAGGCTGAGGAAGCAGCAGCCTGATTTATCTGATTTATCATCTGATGATATCCACTTTGCCTCCCTCCGTCCCCTTCCTCCACCACCTACAGGGTAATGGTGACAAGGATGGCACGGGGAATTTCAGCATCTGGGATGCCTCCCCCTCTGGCTTGCTGTCTTCCAGTTAGCCTTAGCTGGGGCATTATTGATTGCTACTCTGCCACCCTCCAGCTAGACGTTCTTTATCACAGTTTAGTCCAGACTCCCAAGGGCCACAACTGAAGGACATGGGTCCTCGTGGAGGAGACTAGGAGGTCTAAACGAGCACCTTGGGATGAGGGGTAGCCACCCAGAGGAAGATTCCCTCACCTGGCCCCAACTCACCGAAGAGTCAGCATCCTCAGATCGCAGGTGATCAGCAATAGAGTGCACACCTTCCAGTGCCTTCTGTACGCGAGGTGACAGCAGAAGCCCACCCTCCTGCAACCCGGCCTCCGCCTTGGGACCTGAGACCCCTTGCTGCAGACCGCCATGGCCGCAGAGGACACCCAGGGTGGGGGATGACTGAGCCGCGCACACCCATCTGTCTTCCTCCTCCTCTTCCTCTTCCCTCTCCTCCGCATCCACGTTGGTCTCTAGCCAGTGACAAGAGGAGCTGGACTTCAGATCTGGGGGGTCATGGGGCTCCAAGGAGGGCAGGGGCCGGTTCATCAGAAGCCACCGGGGCACACAGCCCAGAAAGGCCACCCGCACCCAGTGGGGCATCGTGTGGGTGCTGGGGGAGCGGTGGTGGACGTTGAGGACAAAGACCGTGATGACGATGGAGAGCGTGACGAAGATCATGGTGAAGAGCAGGTATTCGCCGATGAGCGGGATGACCAGGGAGGTGGAGGGGATGATGTCAGTGATGAGCAGGAGGAAGACGGTGAGCGAGAGCAGTACGGAGATGCAGAGCGTGATCTTCTCGCCGCAGTCTGAGGGCAGGTAGAAGACGAGCACGGTGAGGCAGGAGATGAGCAGGCAGGGGATAATGAGGTTGATGGTGTAGAAGAGGGGCAGGCGCCGGATGATGAAGTAGTAGGTGACGTCGGGGTAGATCTCGGCACAGCAGTCATACTTCTTGGTGTTGTAAGTGCCCGTGGCATTGATGATGGCCCACTCGCCGCTCTCCCAGTAGTCCTTCAGGTCCACCGTCGGCTCCATCTGCTCCAGGTCGATCTTGGCCTTGTCGTAGGTCCAGGAGCCAAACTTCATCTTGCAGTTCTGCTGGTCGAAGGGGAAGAAGGTAACGTCGATGCTGCAGGAGCTCTTGTAGATGGCAGGGGGCACCCAGTGCACGGTGCCCGTGGAGAAGAGGTGGGCCTTGGTCATGTGGGTCACCGCAAACTCGCCATCTGCACTGGGGAGAGGAGAGGAGCTGGGGGACCCAGCTCAGCCCACCTGCCCACGCCAGGCTGCTCCAGACAGCCTGCAACAGGGAACCCTAATAACAAAGCCAGACCTGGCTCAGTTGTTGGGATCTATGCAAGTGTGCGAGACTCCCCCAGCACACCCACATTTAGAGCTACCTGAGTTGTCTTTCAGACACTATCTTTTAATGACCAAAGTAGGACAATACCAAGAATTTTAAAAACAACCGCTATTAACCTTCTGATGTTATATATATCGTACATATCTGATTGACATACAGATCACATATATAACTTTTTACATATTTATAAATGCATGGGACAGATAGTCTTATGGCCTGTTTGTGTTTATTTAATATTTTAGGGTGATTATTTATATTTTCTCCCCGCAGCAGATGGTGAGTAAGGCGCTCATCTAGGGTCACGTCTTTTCGACCCGGGATCCTTAGTTCCTGGCTCAGAAGAGACCTAACACCTTTGCTGGTGATGGAAGATACCTCCTTCACCCCGTCCAGGTACTGGGCATTTCTGCACTCAGCCCCATCCGCTAGGGCCTGTAGAGGAGCTGTGGGGGATGGAATGTGAGACACAGGCCTGCCCTTAAGGAACCATGAGGAACCACGAGGAAATGCGATACAGCCCTAAACGCCTTTAACACAAGGGAGGTGGTTTGTCAACAGCATCACAAGGGTAGCCCACTGGGGGCGGGCGGGGAGGACGGGCCTCCCTTCTGGCTGGAGTGAGCAGGGTCACCCTGAAGGTTG